AAGGCATTTCCACTTTTCATAACAACAATATTTTAAAACAGATATTTTAGTAACTTAGGTACACACTGCTGCCTTATTGGTAATAACCGAGGTGGTTTAAGTGGTTATTCTATAATATTTGAATATCATCAATGTGGGATGAGACATACCCAGGGGTACCCTGCTTCTGGAGGCAGGGGATCCATCAACGAATCGGGACGACTCGAAAGTTTATGCAGACTGTTCAAATATGGAAATATGAATAACTCGGACACGTTTTGCGTCATCCTTGAAACGACTTGTTGCAGCTTATAATGATGGGTAAAATTTAAGGCATGAGACGGGCTGGTCGAAGGAAGAAGTCCTGGTTGCGGAACGCACGGGAGTGGACCGGCATCACATCCACTGAGGACTATTACAAAATACCCAGCATATCAAGTTGTTAACAGCCAATCTTTAGAAATAAAGCACTTGAAGAGAAGAAATATAGAAACGTACTTGTTAAAATTTACTAAAACTGGTTAAATCTTTCAGTGTAATCCTATCTGTAATATATACATAAAGAATTTGTCCAAACGTAAATATTATTACACCTTATCATTGTCGAGTCTATCTTATCACACACGATGGCATTTTAGTGGTTTGAGCTTGACATACTAAAGTATGATCTTAGATAATCTAAATTCCTAATTCAAAGGGTATTCAATATTGACTGTCATTGGATCAATAATTGAAAATCGAACTTCAAAATTTTACCATAGTAAATTGTCACTGGTTGTTTGTAAATATTAAAAAAAAACGTAATTGGCGGGAAAACTACTTCGTAATGGCGTTTGCGGGTGTAAAACAAAAGACGTTAAAAGCGCGAATTTATTACATTATTTATATAACAAGACGTTTAGTTTAATTAATAGTAATCATTTATTGCCATAGTCAGTCATCCGTTTCATTTACATATAGAAAGGTACATATATTTTACAATTTAAATATAAAACGTAAAATACTTTTAATGTCAGCAATTTTAAACATTCCGTATGCTTTACCGTTTGTTTTGTCACCCGTGACCAAGAAACAACACGCAAATTTAAATAATTTCATAGTTAACTATACATTTACTGTAGTAAGAAAATCTGCTGCTATATATTTTAATGTATTGAATACTGATTTGGAGACTATCCAAAAACCCTTCACCTTTGCGCGTTATATTAAAAAAAACAATTGTTATGTAGCAAGGGGCATTTGATTACTGTTTATAATTGCCAAGGGTTTCATTTAAGTAAACGTTATATCGGTTGTACTGAAATCGTGTAACATTAACTACCACTGCGTTCCTCCAAATACACCTCGTTTGGCGCCTGTGTCGCTGCAGTGCAGTGACCTCTTCAGCCTGGAACTAGACTAAGTATTCAAGCCATTAAGAACTATATTATTAATTAATATTGAAAATTCTGTCGTTATAATCATTATTTTAATGTAGCATACAGCTATACCCTAATCAGTTCCCGACAGGTGAACCTGAGTAATATAATACTTGTTAATTGTTCAGCGATTCTCAAAGTATGATTAATTATATTTACAATATTCTTAACCTACATAGTAATAATAATCATTAAACACGGGTAAATAGAAAACGAAAATAATGAAATAAAAGGTTTGGTCCCTGTGGCAGTGTTTTCAAGGCAGCATTTCGTCGCTGTATTGCGATACTTATTCGTTGAGTTAGGAAATCACTAGCTCTAGTGGCATAGGTTACTTACATGTTCAATTAGTGCCTGTTTTTTTTGAACCCCACGGCCCAAGAGTCTCTACTCCAAAGCGAACAAGATCGAAGGAGTAAATACCGTATGTGTTTATTTATAATATTGTAACCTCTTTTCATATTTATTAGTTTTAAAACAAAAAAAGAGCGTACCATTTTTTTAAAGGAGAGACTTCTGGCAATGTGAGTGTCCATGGGCGTTATCACTTAACATCTATTGAGCCTCCTCGAGGTCGACGGCGCGGCGTGTGTGACAGAAGGTTTTTTTTAAAGCATTGCTTTTGTTTTTCTTTCTTTGCGATTTATACACAGTAGTGAAGGTACTGGTTTTTGTGTCATGAATCAAGTGTATCACACCTTCACAAAAAATGATGATACCAAGCTTTGTCAATCTCATTATTGGTAACTTAACTTGTGTGGTTGGGTTCGCGCACGTGTAAACTAGCAAATAACCTAAATGAACCAGGCAGCTGGTTCACTGAACGAACCAATTCGACTTTAGGTAGTTCAGGAAAGGGCGTACGAATTCTTAAAAGGCCGGCTACGCACTCGAGAGCCATCTGGCATTGAGAGTGACCATGGGTGGCGGTATCACTTAACATCAGGTGAGCCCGTTTGCCTCCTATTACATTAAAAAAAAAATTCAGGGCTAATTAATATTAACAGAATTTGTTTTTTATTCAATTACCATGTGAATCAAATGTATTCAAAATTCGTTATCTCTGTAGTTAAACCAGTTTTAGAAGCACAGCTTATATATAGATACAGCGTTCAATATACAATGTGAGCAGGTGGTCGCAAATGATTTGAAAACAACCGTTGAGAAGTAACACGGAAGTTTAAACTTGTTTATATTATCTTGGTGAATTACGAATTCAATAATTTAATTAAAGGTTTGTAAGACAAAAATGTAAACACCGCTACCATGCGTTTTTCAATGGCGGCCATTTTGAGTTCTATTCCAGCGTAACTATATTTTTTAGACTTGGCGAGAAGAAACTTTTTTAGAACATATTATTGTCTCCGATTAAATAATTTATGGTTATAAACGCGAATTTCTCCCTCCACGACTGATAAGCTCGTCGACCTGTGTAATGTAATAAATTGGCGTAAAATCGATTAGAGGTTGTGTTAAAATGATTGTTTGGGCGAACCATAGATAACACAAACAATTGAACGGTTTTCTACTTAAGTATAATAATACAAGATAGTAATTATTTGAAACCAAAACCTATATAAAAAACCCTGAAACATATTTCACAGATAAAAAAATGAAACTAAAACAAAAAAAAATAACAAATAAGTTAAATTCAAATTACTAATGTTATTACTATGGTACGATAACTGAATTTATTACATACATAATACTTCCCTTTTTAAGTCCAAAAGGAAGTTATAACCGTACTCGTGTTGAAATGTGCCGTTAGTTAATTATAGGAACTCAACTCGTCTGCTTTTAAACTGGAAACCTACTAATGTGAATAATAAATGAAGTAAAAGTAACGATAATAAATGTAGAAATCACAATATAATACTTGATAAATGTTTAATTTTTCTAGGCAATCAAAAAAAGAAAATTCTAAGACATTTTTTTAAATTTACGTACGAACGTAAACTTGAGTGGAGAAAAAAAGTTGAAGAACCTTTTTTATGTTAAAATTTAGGCTCTACCAATTTTGTTAGCGTACCGCAACAATTTCGAAAATATGTATATATATATTTTTTATTTTTACTTTTGTTAAACCTTGCCGAGCTAATCGAAAACCACTACACTTTTTTTTACCATTAAAACTATATTATATATCAAAAATGTTTGTGTGATTTACAATTTATTTGACTAGACTATTGTGAAAGTCATTCAAACAATACCTACACCACAAACCTACCTCTGTTTTCAGAAATGCGTGCATACCTACTTATATCTCATAAACAACAGAATCATTTATGTTCACTAGAAGTTTCGCGGTTAAAACATATCCTAATTTTGTCCGTTGCATATTTGTATTTTTCACTGGAATTTTTTCAGTGTTTTTAAGTACACCGTATGTGTTATTTTATAGTTTATTGTATTTAAAATATATATATGTATGTACGAGATACAACCCATTAAATGCACATTGCGTAAAGCTGTGATATGATCTACGCTTAACAATTGTAATTATGTTGGTATAATGCGTTCCTTTTGTGTTCATGTCATGTACCTACCGGAAATATTGTTCTTCATGAATCATGTAGTTACTAATAATATGTTTTGTTTACCTTTAGACTTTCCATTTATTTCAAATAAATAATTACATGGATTACAACATTGTGTATAAACTTTTATAAAACTGTGTTAGTATACACACAATATGTATTTAAAAAATATATAAAAAGTTAAAAAATTTAAAAGATGGTGCATCTCAGGTATGATTAGCCCGATTAGTCAACAACAACGACAACAAAATATGATTTAAGAAAATATTATGTGTACGCCTGTTTTAAGCTTCTCTTATACTCGATGTCTTCAAAGACGTAAGACAAAAAATATTTTAAAGTTGAATGTAGCCGCTGACAAGTTCGTCCTTAAATCAATTAGAAATAAGTATTTAAATTTAAGTATTCTTAGAATTATCTTTTTGCTAGGGGAAAATGAATCAACAAAAAGAACAATGAATGTATTTGACGAATACTGCCATCTGTGCTTGAAACAAAATAGTATTTATAAACAATACTAACTATTGTATTACAGCGCCACCTTCCTGTATCTTTAAACACTACTAACAGGATTATTGAATACATATTTTGAAGTTAATGCTATTTGAATTGCATTTATAAATATACATTGCTGTAATAATAAAAAAAATAGCTTACTAGAATTTTTTATACATATTACAAAATAAAATTAATAGGACGATAATAAAAAAATAATAATATACAAAATTAGTTTTTATTATTTTATGCTAATATGTAGAAATTTATTCACGGGAGAATCGATATTAAGGGGGTGATTCCAACTTCCAAAACTACGGCGGATGTTATAATTTATATATAGCAAAGATTTTCCATTAATTTCGTTACTCCATGATTTCCTTATTCCAAGTTAGTCACCTAACGTGACATTTATTAATTGTCTTTGATATCTGAGACTTGACAGCTGACACCGACTTTACATTTGCACACAAATTTGTAGTTTTCCGCTCTGTTGTAATATTATTATATCCACTATATTTATATATTTTCCAGGGAATTGTATACAACGTTGACTCATAGTTTTACTTAAATGGGCTCACGGTCTGGCAAAATTCTTAGTAATCCAGTCATGGCGGCCGAAATACAACAATTTATTAAGAGCGCTGTAGCACAGGACAAAGTCGTAGTATTCTCGAAATCTTATTGCCCTTACTGTACACTGGCAAAAAATGTAAGTTAATTTTTTACTTCGATTATATTATTGTAAGGTATCAATATAATTGTAAATGATGCAAATATACATAGTTGAGTATGTTGCAACATTAACTAAACTTCAAGTTTATTCATATATGTATAAAAGAGATTCTATTTTTCAAAAGTGATTGGTATGTTAAGTAAAAAAGGTCTTAAAATAATGTCCTTTCCTATTCCAGGTTTTCTCAAAAGTAAATCAACCCATCCAGGTTTACGAACTGGATCAACGCGAAGATGGAGATGCAATTCAAGACACTTTGTACCAAATTACAGGGTTCAGAACGGTATGTAATTACTATTCAATTATATTATTTTGAAACTATTAAGAATTTTATATTTCTTTTTATTTCCACCTAAAAATATCTTTTGTTTTATGTAATTCTTTTTGATAATTTAATATCAGTTAATTCCTTATCTGTATCATTGTTAATCATTATATAAATAATAAGTATAAGTCATTGACTTAGTTATGTTTTTTTTATAATTGTAAGGGAATCTTAGTGGCTATAAAAAAGAATATATAATCCTTGTTCAAGCCCATATAAATAATTATAATAATAAATCAATTTTTTTGTGACAAGAAAGTTTTCATAAGTAATTGATACTTATGGTGTTTAACCTTAAAACATTACATGATGTCATTGTACCATACATACCCAATTTGTAATTAGCATATTTAAGTAGTTTTGATTTAAAATAACAACTAAGTATTAACAAGTGTTTGATTATAACAGATAATTGGTAAAATTAAAAATGTATCTCAAGGCTAAACTGTTTAAAGACTGAAAATTCAAAAAATCTGTTAGGTGTATGACTGATTTTTAATGACAAAATCACTTTTGTAAATAGTAATTAAAATTTGAAATGTAAGCATAAAATAATGAAATATTACTTAGGGTTGAGTGTGGTAAGACTTGTTTTGAGTTATTTTGTTGATAACAGGATGTCTTAAATGTCCTTGTTTGTTAAGTTTGACAAATATCAATTTTGTTATGTACTGATTATCTATTTCCGTTATAAAAATGTTGTGGTTCCTTATTAGTCTCATTAAAAACCACAAATTTTATCTCACAGTGACTGTGGTCTCTTTATCAGCTTTTTTTATGTTTTTATCAGTTAAATTGTACAAGCTTCTTTATTTGAATCAAATCAAGGATTTCAAGTAACTTATTATTTAAGTTGTTTTAAAATACAATTGTTTAAACAACCTTGGTGTATACTAGTTTTTGTAATAATTATATACAGGCATTATTACTGTTTAATTTTCAAACAATAATTATAATGTTTATTTGTATGTAAATTTTGTAATTATAACTTGCATGCACTACTATTTGTAAATTGAATTCATTATATAGATTAATTACATATGTAAGCATATAACAAAGAAGATTTGTAAAAAAATTTGGACTCTTTACAAAATCTACTTAGCGGATAATGTTTATTGCATACTGTGTGGTACAATCATATAGCATATAATAGTAGTATATCTCAATCATGTGCCATTAAATAATAAACCATATAGCAGATTTTTAATGGCATAGGATGCATTATTAGTATAAATATACACATGTTTGTTTTGCTTTTCTTTAGCACAATAATTGTTTTTTCGCCGGGTGACTGACTTTATTGTTCACAGTGAGTAATGATGTGATTGTCTTTCCAGGTACCTCAAGTATTCATTAATGGAAACTGTGTTGGCGGTGGATCTGATGTCGACAAACTTTATAAGACCGGAAAATTGGAGCCTCTGCTTATAGGATAAACATTTTAGGCATTATTTGTACTTAACTAACTAGCAAGCTTACCACTTAACGCCAATAGCGATTTCTATAATTGCCTTGATTGTTAATTGGCAAGCGCTTCCTAATACAGTTCCCTAATGACGTCATCAAACCATGAAAATAAATCAATGTAGTACTAATATGTAATAGTAGCTGATTTCCCAATCGTGGGACTACCCATAACATAATATCCAAATCGAATGTTAAAGTTACGTGGTAAGCTTGCCGGTTAACCAATTATTTACTAGCGCCTCTAATAAAAATCGAATAATTTATCGTAATTCTTTATCTTATCATAGATAAGAAAAAAAGCAGTGAATAGTATAAAATTATTGAAATCTTGGGGACACTAATCAAGGTTGGGGATATGTTAAAGTACAATGTTAATCTCATAACAGCGTTTTACGTTATTGATTTTTATATTTATTTTAATAAATTTGAGCACAATTCTATTTTTTATTATCAACAACTTTAAAAGTTTCTCACCAATTTTTTTCACCAGGCATTTGCATCCCACTTGATGGAATGTAATGCCTAGATAAATTCCCGCTTGTTATTTTGAAGATTCTTGTTTTATTGTCATGATAACAAAATGTGTTTGTGTTAGATAGGATGCAGTACTAGTTTCAGGAGTCTGTGACTTCTCAGTTCTATTCTTGGCTACCAATTACATAATATAAAGATAGATGTAGACATATAAAATAGATGCAGAGAGGAAGGGAGTTGCATTCCTTAGTAGTATGGACAAGAAATGTCGAACCGAAACGGAATTTATGTTCCGAATAGGACCCGTTTCGGTTCCCAAATTGGTTAACTAGGCTGGAACCTTCTACTTCCGCCACGGTTTGATGTGATCGAGCGGTAGAAGGTATCGATGACAGATTTCCGTCTTCAAGTGTACCGTAATTTGTAAAACCCCTTCGAATATGGGAATATTATTTAAGATTTGTTATACAAAGAAAAACAGCATTATAATGTTAACAAACACAGAGTCTTCATTAGTATCAGTTAATTCAATCATTCGAATCTTGAGTCCACATTTTTGACGTCGGAATTTATTTCGAAATTTCATTAAGTTTTTGTTCTTGTTCATGTTGAACTTATAATTTATGATGCTGTGTAAATAGATAACATGGCTATTTACAATTTCTCTTAATGACCTCATTAGTATAAACTATAATAAGTACATGTTAATTTTTTTTGGAATAAAATGTCAAATAAATTAATCACAATGGTTCTTGGCTAAATCAGTCCGAATTAATTCGCCTATAAATCCTTCAGATAGGCGACGCCCCCTCCCTAAACGCTTTATTACTCGCACGGGATGAAAACATAAGGTCCACTCAAGGCTACGCGCAGCTTCAATAGGAAAAGTATTATACAGAGATGGAATTTCGCGAATTTTCATTTTTTTTACAATAAATTGTAATTCACATAGCAATGAAAATTTATCAATGATGCTTAATTTATTTATACAGAAATTTAACCACTCTAACAAAAAAAGGTTTTATTGTTTTTTGTTAGTGGTTATTCTTTCACTGTTAATAAATAAAAAAAACAAAAAAAACAAATATAAAAGAAAGGAATGTACAAATTTGTAAGTTTGACTATAAATAAATATAATATACTTAATTAAGAAATATTTTAAAGGAAATTGTATCGGGATCGCCCCTGACACTTTTCTTCACACAAGAAAAGTACATCCAAAGGTATTTCTGAGAGTTCTGTTTCCTCCTACTCTACACTAAAGGACAAAAATACGCAGCGTAACATCCCTAGCTACTAATATTATATCCTATGCCATTGATGAAAGCGTCGTTTTTGCGTAACGCAATATAATTCAAGTTACCGGGTGTAATGCGTGCGATAAGGACGATAGATTCCTTTTCACCCCCGACATTCCTCCCCCAATTTTCCATCATCCGCCGCTAGTTGGCGCCTGCGAGCCTTCCCTCGCACATGTTTAATGCCTTATTTTTTGTTTGGAGCATGTAAACAAACAGTTTTTGTGTATAAAAATTGTAGCCTAGACGCTTTACTGGAGACATGTGTTTACATTTGTGTATTTACCTGGTGAAGATACTGAAATATGTGTGTTCCTTTGATAATACTAAATAGTATAAGGTGAGTGAGTCTAATTATATAGAAACGTATAGCTACTTATCTTAGATGTTTCAATAGGATGAGATTCGTGGCGCCTTGGGTAGAACCTTTGTAAGTATAATACGTGTGAAGGCATTTTCTATTTTTACAGAGTACTATACAATTTATATAAGTAGGAGTATTTTTATACATTTCGTATTCTATAATAGATAGTTTCTTTGGTATAATTTGCGATGGTCGGTTTCATTGTTTTTGTAAAGAAAAGCAATTATGTTAGCTTCGCTTGTGACTAGTAGTTTAACGAAGCCATTTAAATGTGAATGAACGCAATCGGGATAGGTTACACATAAACGCATTACGTGACTTAATACGTTTGCAGGTAAATCAAAATACTAGCCCTTTATTTAGTTTTTGCAATGTTATTCATTAAGGGCTGCTATATTATAATAATATATAAATATAATTACACTTTCACACATTATATGATTTTCAGTACTACAAAATTAGGATACAAATAAAACACTAAAATAGCGATACAAAAATACATAACATTACGAGTATGATTACAATTGTATTATATTTTCTGATTTAAAATTATAAGAATTTTCTAACATGTGAGAAATAAACAGTGAAACGCCTTATATCTTACTGGGAACTATCAAAATGAACTATAAACTCGTGTAGTACTATGGTATGTATGGAGCTATCACGACTAGAGCCCACCTCTTATGTCTAACGAGAGATTGAGCCTGAATGAGAGGTTCGGCGGAAAGGATTATTGCCGTAGTACTCGCAATATAAGGCGGGCGGCGGCGGCTCGCCAGTCAGATCGCACGCAGCCTCGTAGACGGTAGCGTAGCGCCCAAACGCGTAGCGCGGCGCTAAACTTTCCACTTGCTACGAAAGTTGATCTATAGTTTTGTGAGCCTAATTGGTAAGGTTTAAAACGTTTTATGAAATGTAGATTATTTTAAATAATAGAAAAGGGTTAATTACTGAATAAACCCTAAAAGTTTCACGAAAAATGATGTCAAGGGTATGTTATTTACATATTTAAGTGGCATTCGCTCGTCACTTTGCGTAAATAAAGTAGAAAAACTAGTCCCACGCACAGAAAGCTTACTATTTGTATTGAACATAACAGGTATTTTCTAAGTAGGCTCAGCGATTGTGAATATTGTATTTAGTTTGTTTATCGTATAGTCTCAAAGTATGTGTGTATAAACTTGACGAGTTCAATTAAGTATAATAAATACTTTTTTATTCGTTTTTATTTAATTGTATGTATAGACCCGTTTTTTAGTCCCGTCTGCTTGCATTACATACATTACGTTGCAATCTTCCTGTCCAAGAGATTCTTTGAAACTCTATTTATTTTCATACCGTAATTACCATTACATAATAAGTACTGCATAAGTGCTTGATAAAAAGCATAACGGTATGCTTATTTATAAAAAAAGTAACTAGGAAATAAAAATACTAAAAACAACAATCATATTAAGCATGTTTTGTTACATATAAATTATTGAATATTTATTAGCTTAAGGGGCTTTATAGTACGTTTAATAAGCGTATCAATAGCCTACGTTACTCAGGGATTTGGTTGAACAGGGCAGGTTCACTTCATGTAAAGTGCTATCGCCGCCCATGGAGACTCACACTGCTAGAAAGTGCATTGCCAGCTTTTTTTATAAATCAGTACGATGTTTAATTAAAATTCTTAGTCAATTTGATTCAGATATATTTGCGTTGCTTCAACTTAAATAATCTTTGAAATCAAGTCCATTAGGTAGTTTTTGAGTTTATTCGTTATTAATTTATTTATTTATACATTCTAAAACAATGTCTGCCTAAAAAATACAAGAAAATATGACATCACAAATTTAACACACACATCAATTACATTAGAACATAAGCAATCTATCAAAGGAAATAATTAAACAAACAACCACAAAATAAAAAAATAATAATAACTAAAAATTAATAATAACTAAAACTAAAAAGATAAAAAATAACAATAACAGTAATAAACTAAATGAAAACTTAAACCACATTAAGAGCCTGCAAAACAAAGTTACGGTAAGTTAGTAGACTGTTGAGACACATCTATATTTTCATACAAAAATCAATCCTATTTATAATATTAGATATAATGATATTATAGTGTTCTAACAAACTCTGTCAAGCAAACGTAAATGACAAGGAAATGAAATTCATCTCGCTATAATCTGAAAAAACAATATGTATTCATGAAATTCCATTTTTCATATAAACGTCGGAGACGAGAGGTTGTATAGTTCCACGAACAATAGAAAGCTAATTTTTCTTTTCAACCTCATTTTCATATCACATACGCGTCAGATTTCATATGAAGAACTGGTTATGTTCAAGAGAAAAGGACTGAGAATGTTATATAACATTTCAGATTTACTATAAATGTCAAAATATATTCATGCAGGTAACTTATTGTACTTACGAATTCTCTCCGCTTCCTCAACTATTTTATTTTACATGCTTGTTGCAATTGAAACTATTATACCTTATAACATGGAATAAACAAAAAATTACATGTAATAGAAACAATTTTATTATATTACTATGCCCTGCATAAACAGCATTTGTAATGGTTAATATATACTGCTCAAAACAATTAGCGGAACAAGATTTTTCTCCTTTCTATTGCTTAAACTAAAATTAGATTTAAATTAACTTGTACGCTATTTTTTACCTTGTTAATTTGTTAATTACTACAATTAATAAAAAAAATCAATTAGTATTTTTTTTATTAAAAAAAAATTAAAATGTGCATTGTAGACGAAAAACAAAGTGACATCTTTGAATTTTCATTACTTTCTAATCACAGAAAACACATTTTAAG